CTGCCTTTGAAAATGTCTCCTCTAAAGACATGTAACCAATAGTCTATTCTCATGATTATTTCTTTAATCAGGTAGTCCCAAGTAGACAAATCAACTCAAAAGGTAGACTAGACTGAAAATATCCCTGAGAAACCTAGTTAAAATAAAAGGAAAACAGCTTCTCTGTATGGCAAAATTCTTAATCAAGCCTCATAGGATTGCCTCAACAACAACCCACAGAAAGTGAGCTCAAAATACAAAATACATGAGAAAATTTCTGAAAGGCAGTGTATCTGCATATATATATATATATATATATATATATATATATAAAACAATTGGCTAGCATACTCATTGTTAAATATTAGAATCTTTCCATGCAGGATACACTCAAGTAACCTGTAAGATTAAGCACCTTTTTCCTTAGTTGAGGAAATTCTCTTGAAACCCCACTTAAAATAACTGGGAATTATTTCTAATATACGGTTCAGAAAAATGAAGAAAACAAGTCAAAAACAATACAGATCAACTAAGATATAATTTTTAAAAATACAAAGATATTCTTTCACTTGTTTTGGGGTCAAACCTAGCAGTGCTCAGGGTTCAATTCTGACTCTACACTCAGGGATCACTCCTGAAGGTGCTGAGGGACCATATCAGGTGGTGGAGATCAAACTCAGGTCAACCACATGCAAGGAATAAGGGAATTGCTGTATCTGTGGTACTATTTGCTTCGGCGCCAAGATCGTACACGTACATTTCCATGTGCATCTAACATACAGATCAAACTCACTGAAGAGAATTTGAGGATTCTGAAATAAGAGTTTAAACACCTATATAATGTTCAAGTGTTTGTTTCCTTAAACAACTAGCACTTTTAATTTAAATAAGATAAAATATTTTAAAACTCTTAACAATATGGGGCTGGAGCAATAGCACAGCGGGTAGGGCGTTTGCCTTGCACGAGGCCAACCCAGGTTCGATTCCCAGCATTCCATATGGTCCCCTGAGCACCGCCAGGAGTGATTCCTGAGTCCAAAGCCAGGAGTAACCCCCTGAGCATCGCCGAGTGTGACCCAAAAAGAAAAAAAAAACTCTTTTAACAATAACACCTACTTTGTCATTGGAATAGATGAAACCCAATTTCCGCAGTGCATGCATATAAGCGCTTGCAATCAGAAAGTCAAGCAATAAACAAATTGGGGGACAATTCCAGGGTTCTTGGAAAATCCTATTTCTCACGCTCTTTTCATATGGCATTCTGTTCACTGAAAATGCAATTATTCAGAAGCAGCTTTCCAGAAATTATCTCCTTCAAGAATAATGTTCATTGAGAGCAACTTGGAAGTTATTCAAGACCTAATTGCAGGTCATAGTTGCCTTATCAACTTTATAGCCATGTCTCAAAAAATATTCAGTCACAGCAATTAAATGACAAAAGGATAGAATCATCTTGCTGGTACTTGGCTTAGATTTTTTTTCTAATACTTTTTCCAAATTTTATTTAGGAGCTGTGGTTTACAATGTTGTCAATAATAGTGTTTCTCAGCCATGATCCAGAGACTCACAAATGAATCTCGGAAGAGAGCAGCACTCTGCAGAGATGTCTCCAGACCCCAATAATTTAAAATTTTAGAATTCCAGGAGTGTGCGGCCACTTTCGCAGCCACACAACATCTCATACTATTCATAACAAGCAATACAAAATAAATTATTTAGCATCTGTCTCTGGGGCAGGCTTGACTGGTGGTGGGAAAATTCGAAACAATGGTAGTGGAAAGGTGTAATGGTGGTAGGATTGGTGGTGAAATATTGAATGTAACCAATTATTCTTGACAAACTTTATGGAAATAAAATTGAAAAATTAAAAATATTAATAATAATTTTCTCTGGCATACAAATGACTCAATACCACACCCTCTGTGCACCAGTGTCAGCAATGCTCCACTAGCATTGGCTTAGATTTAATGAAGTAACCAGGGGCTGGGGAGACAGCTCAGAGTACTGGAGTGTATGCCTAGGATGGGGAGGCCCTCCATGTTCTTTCCCAGCACCATATGGCTCCCAAACACTACTGGGAAAAGGCTCCAAATCCCAAAACACTGCTTGGGAGGTGCTCAAATAATCACTGTTTCACTGTAATCCCATTGTTCATCAATTTGATCAAGCGGGCCCAGTAATGTGTCCATTCATCCTAGCCCTGAGATTTTAGTAGCCTCTCTTTACTCATCCTTCCCAATGGTGCCACAATGGAGGCTCTTTCAAGGTTAGGAGAATGAGCTGCATCATTGTTACTGTGTTTACCATATCACGAGGAGCTTGCCAGGCCCTGCCGTGACCCCAAATAATAATGATAATAATAGAGTTGTAGGGTGTAAGTCTCTTGTTCTCAGTAAAGAGTGAAAAGCAGAGGATCTGAGACAAAAGAACAAATTTGGTAGAAACTTTGAGAAAAGGAAAAGAAGGGTAAGAAAGATGTAGAATGGGGCATCCTTAGGTAGGAAGGCCTATTAATGTGGGAAAAGGCCCTCCCGTTGATCGTCGATTTGCTCGAGCGGGCCCAGTAACGTCTCCATTGGAGACTTTGTTGTTACTGTGTCTGGCATATCGAATACTCTCGGTAGCTTGCCGGGCTCTCCGAGAGGGGCGGAGGAATCGAACTCGGGTCGGCCATGTTGGCCGCTTGTAAGGCAAACGCCCTACCCGCTGTGCTATCTTTTTATATTCTTTTTACTAGGGGAATGAATGAGGAGCACTTTGTATTGGGTTTAAGACATGCAAGATGAGAAGACAAAAAAAAGCGCTGGGAAAAGACAGAATTTTTTAAAGGATTATCTTCTGCATATCCAGGGTACATGCCCTGGGCACATTCTCAGGAATTTTGCTCTGTGGTATCAGAGAACTGCTATAAAACCTTTCTCAAAGTCCTGAAGGATAATACAGCAGGCAGGACACTTACCTTGCACACAATTGATCCAGGTTCCATTCCCAGGACTCCATATGGTCTCCTGAGCCCGACAAGAGTAACCCCTGAGCATACAGCCAGGAGTACTCTGTGAGCGCATTTGGGTGGGCTCAAAAATAAAAAACAAAAATAAAAAGTTCTTGAATGGAGCTGCAGATAGAAGTAGGTAAGAAGCTTGCCTTGCATTCAGCAAGTCTGGATTTGATCCCTAGCACAGAACCAGGGGTAAGCCCTGAGCACAGCCAAGTGTGGTCCCCAAAATAACAATAATTACTATTTTATTATTATTATTATTATTATTATTATTAAACATTAAGGTCAGGGCTGGATCGATAATACAGCAGGTAGGGTGTTTGCCTTGCACGCGGTCAACCTGGGTTTGATTCCCAGCATCCCATATGGTCCCCCTGAGCCCCACCAGGAGTAATTACTGAGTGAAGAGCCAGGAGTAAACCCTGTGCCTCGCTGGTTGTGACCCAAAAAGAAAATAAAAAAGGAAGAAAAAAATGCTTTCCTGCTGAAAGTAGACTGTAGGCCAAACATGATTGTCACCCATTGCCTCTTTTGCAAACCACAACACCCAATAGGAGAGAGAGAACAAAAGGGAATGCCCTGCCACAGAGGCAGGGTGGAATGGGGGGGTGTGGGGGGGTGGGAGGGATACTGGCATCAGTGGTGGTGGAAAATGGGCACTGGTGGAGCGATGGGTACTCAATCATTGTATAATTGAAACCCAAACACAAAAATCTGTAAGTCTACAACTGTACCTCATGGGATCTAACAAAAATGAAAATAAATTAAGAAAAAATGCTTTCCTTAGAAGGTAGCTATTAAATTTACCTTAAATTTTATAGTTCCTTACCTAGTTTAAAGAAGTCATATAGGATGGGTGTTGGAACATTATATGACTGAAATCCAATCATGAACAACTTTGTAACTGTGTATCCTATTGTGATTCAATAAAAAAAAAAAGGAAAGAAGGGTTCATTTTTCCTGGTTTGCTCACCATCTTGCAAGAATTCTCCTAAAATGTCTTAATCATTGTAAATGATATTCTATGCTAGGCCAAGCCAAATGTAATTTTCACAATAATCAACTCAAGTTTTATAGGTGTAAAGATCTGGGTCTTTTTACTCAATAAACAAACTTAACAGAGGTAAAACAAATTGTTTATTACAGCATATAATGTGTTATATTAAATTTACACAATGATATATAAAAACACATATTGTTCATATCATACAGTAATTTAACAACAGGAATATCAAAACAAGTACTACTCATGCACAGACATGCATATATTGATATAAAAGGAGCAATTTTACACAATACTGTTTACCAAAAAAAGGTGGATTTTTTTGTTTTTATTTTTTTTTTAAAAAAAAAAAGCCCTTCCAGATAGGATAAGTCGTCCATTCTGGACTGGATTGCACTAATAAGATCGGGCCAATGATTAGGTGGCACAGTGCTCAGTGAGCAGTTCTGGGGTTAGAGTAATGCTCAAGTGTTATTTCATTAACAGCAAATTTCTCTGAACCCAAGAACTAAAATTTTACCATAAAGGAGAGTCCTCCAAGGGAACAAGGGTCAGATCTGTTACAAATTAGTGAGGAGGAGAAAGGCATCAAAACATTGGCTTAAGCAGCCCTAGAAAAGATTACTGTAATCAGGGCCTAGGCACCAAGTGTGGCAAAGTTTTAATGAACCCTTTTAAGGTATATTACCAGTCTCCTATCCAGGTCACCATATTTCTGGATCTTTAGGAGCTGGTCTTCAAGTTCTGAGTCCAGTAAACAGAAATGCTGAGGAGGAGACTGAAATGGCAATACATTTGTGAAATGCTGACAATATTGAAAATTGCAGAAAACAATGACTGACCCTAAGACCTACTTCATACCACCCTACCTGATGCCCCTCAACAAGAAAATTCTCATGAAGACACTGTCCAGGAAAAGAAACCAATGTATGTCCTAAAATTCCATCCACCTGACCTTTGGACCAAAGGCCTCACATCCCCCCACCCCATACCACCCTGCACCACCCCCCACCCCCCAAAAAGACTTGAACATTCAAACCTGTGCCTTGACACAACTCTGAATTTAACGTTAAAATCAGCTGACACCACAAAACTCATTCACTATCACCGCCAGTACAACCTCGGTTGACATTTAAGGAGTCAAACATTCTCTACCTTCCATAAAGGCACTAGAGTCCGTCCACTGTGAAGCCGAGACATCACTGACCTCGGTTATACCTTAACAAAAAGAAAACAGTCGTGAGAGCATCACACACACACACACACACACACACACACACACACACCCTAAGCTGTCACCTTCTCCTGGGTAAACAGGAATCCAACACCACAATACCCCTTTTCCTTTCTACACCCACCAGGGAACTCAAACGGTCGTCATCAGTTTCAAGGAGCCAGAGCGGAAACGGAGGATCTTCTTCTTGAGGTTGTGGGATGCCTTGATTTTGACAAAGGTCTTGGTGGCGTGGTGGTGCAGGTCGGGGGCCGTGACCGTCTGAATCGGGAGCGTCTGCACAAACTGCGACCAGTTCAAGCCCGCGCTTTCCTCCGAGTCGCTGGTGCTGGTGCTCTCCCCCGCGAACTCGCCCTCGCTCACGCTCGACTCGCTGTCCCCGAAGCAGTTGGTGGTGTAGTTGCTCTGCTCGTCCTCGCTCGTGTCCACCACGGTGGAGTGGAAGAGGGACTCGCACTCGGCCGAGTACTCGGAGTCGCTGGCCACGTACGCGTAGGGGCTGGCATAGGGCAGGGGGACTGCGGCGGCCGCGGCGGCGGTGGCAGCAGTGGTGGTGGCGGGGTACAAGCCCCCGTTCTCCCGCCGTGCCCGCCGTGCCCGCCGCAGGGCCTCCTCGTACGACACCTCGGCGGCCGAGCGCCAGCGCCGGGAATCCGTTCGCTTGTGCTTGGGCTTGGCCACCACCGGCTCGCGCGCGTGGCCGTGCGCCCGGGTCCCCACCCGGCTGTGCGCTCCTAGGGACCGACTGGGGACAGCTGCCTCAGCCTGGCCGCCCGCACCCTTCCGACTCCCCTTCGGGGCACCCCTTCGGAGCCTCTTATTTGTATCCAGGTCGTCGGGGAAGCGACACTTCTTGCTGGCCGCCCGGCTCTTCTCGCGCACGGTGGGCAGCGTGCCGTCAGGACCCAGGTGCAGGCCGGGCGCGCGGTGCTTCAGGGCTGAGCTCCTCACCCCGGCCACGGTGCGGCTGCCACCACCGCCACTGCCACCACCACCTCGGTGGGGCCGGCCGCCCGGTGGCTGCCCTGGCACAAACTGCGCCTTCACGAGGGGCCCTTCCTCTAGGCTTTGCGAGGAAGATCCCTCGCTTTTGAAATCCAGAGCCGGCCTCTCTTCCACCACGAAGGCTGGGGTCAGCAGGCCACTCTTCGGGGATGGCTTTTTCTGTGGCTGCACCACCACTTTGCTCTCTGGCGGTGGAGGTGGCGGGGCGGGGATTCTCCCCGGGCTCTCTTTGGAGGAAGCACCAGAGATCTGGCCGTTCTCATTAGGGGACTCCCCTGGCAAGGCGGGGGTACACCACCCATGGTCCTGGGAGGCGGACTTTATGGTTTTGGGCAGATGCTTACTTTGAAGTTCAGTGGCAGCGCCAGGCGAGGACCCCTCCAGCGGGGGCAACCTCTTATTTTCCACTGTTTCAGCCTTTGAGTCCTTTGACCACTGTTTCAGAGGAGAGAAGTTTCCAGTGTCCAAAGCGGGGATCCCGCCTGCAGCCACGGGCACCTGTTTAAAATTCTTCAGGTTTCCATTATTGCCCTGTGAGATGCTCCCGGTCACACGCACACACACACTCCCGTTCCTCAGAAGCCCCTTGGTGGGGTCAGCGTTCACACTCGTTCTAGGTTTGTTGGTCCTTACAGGGTGGGTTTTCTTCTGGACCAGGCTCAGAATGTAACCATCCATTTTCTTAGTGGATGCCGGATGGGGAGCAGACCACAGACCAGTTGGAGAGGGTGAGGAACTGTCTGTCTTGATGGTGTCCAGCTCAGATCCCAAGCAGATGTCATTGGCATGGTTGCCAAGCCTCTCCTCTTCCCTCAGAGTGTTGCCTGAGAGGCAAAGGAGAAACATGGGGCTCTGCACAGCCACGGCATGAAGTGGACTTGGGTAGCGATACACATCATTCCCGTTTTTAGACACCAGATCACACTGGTACTTGGGATTCACATCTGCAATGACATCAAGGGAGTTAAATTGTGGTGTGCAGGGGGAATGACAAATTGCCCCTGAGACCTGGTCTTCACAGTGGCCTTCCTTATATTCCAACCATCCTATGAGATCTGAAAAACATTTAAAGGTACACTCTGAAGAAATGAATTGGTCAGCACCAGCCTACCTTGACTCTAGCTAGTTTTTCTAAAGACAATTCATGGTAAGGCGAGAAAAACAAACAATAAGAGTAGATATAGTAGTGCAGGTAGGGTGCTTGCATTGCAAATGTAAACTCTAAGCATCACTAGGTGTGGCCCAAAAACTAAAAGAAAAAAATACTTCACTATTTAAGCTACCATTTTACATACAATTCATAAAATTGAGGAAGAGGGAAAATAATATATTAAAAAAAACTGTTTGAAAATAGTATGTCTTCTGAAGTGAAAGTATTAAGGCAATTTGATGCTTTCAAGAGTCAGAGTAATGGTACAGTGGGTAAGGCACTTGCCTTGCATGCAGAAGACCCCAGTTTAATTCCGAATACTACATATGGCCCCCCAGGACCACTACCAGGAATACCTGAATACAGAGTCAAAAGTAAGCCCTTAGCACTGCAAGGTGAGACCCAAAAAGCAAATAAATAAAAATAAACATTAAAAATGCTTTCAAGGGGCTGGAGCAATAGCACAGCGGGTACGGCGTTTGCCTTGCACACGGCTGACCCAGGTTAGATTCCCAGCATCCCATATGGTCCCCTGAGCACCGCCAGGAGTAATTACTGAGTGCCTGAGCCAGAAGTAAAACCTGTGCATTGCCAAGTGTGACCCAAAAAGCAAAAAGAAAGAAAAAATGCTTTCAAAGCAGTATGGAGAGCACTCAAGTAATAAAATTCTATATGATCCAGTCATCCTCCACTCTTGGATATTTAACAGAAGAATACAAAAATATTAATACTGGGCTGGAGCAATAGCACAGCAGGGAGGGCGTTTGCCTTGCACGCTGCCGACCCAGGTTCGATTCCCAGCATCCCATATGGTCCCCCGAGCACCGCCAGGAGTGATTCCTGAGTGCAAAGCCAGGAGTAACCCCTGAGCATCGCTAGGTGTGACCCAAAAAGCAAAATAAATAAATAAATAAATAAAATAAAATAAAAGCTCCAGGGTTCAGGGGCTGGAGCTATAAAAAAAAAAAAACATTAATACTAAGAGATAAGTGCTCTCCCTATAAATAGATCAAAATAATGGACTTAATAGATGGTATAGGGGTCAGAGAGAGAGTTCAGGGTTAAAGCACTTGCTTTCCAGTTAACTGACTAGCACTGCATATGGTGCCCTCAGCACTATCAGGAGTGAGCCCAGAGCCAGGAATAGCCTAGTCCTTGTGTGTCACCTCGCGTGGCACCATCAGGAGTGAGCCCAGAGCCAGGAATAGGCTAGTCCGTGTGTCACCTCGTGTGGCACAAAAATTTAAACAGAATTCAATGCTTTCATACACTAAATAATATGGGGGAAACTTTGAAATTTAGTGAAAATTATGATGTAACACAAAAGATAACTGTATGAAGATTACTTATGTGAAACAAAAATAATCACCAAGATGTGAGTGAATAAGGTAAAGGTAAAGGTAAAGGCCCTCCCGTTGATCGTCGATTTGCTCGAGCGGGCCCAGTAACGTCTCCATTGGAGACTTTGTTGTTACTGTGTCTGGCATATGGAATACTCTCGGTAGCTTGCCGGGCTCTCCGAGAGGGGCGGAGGAATCGAACTCGGGTCGGCCATGTGAATAGCAGCATCTAAATGCAGCAGAGAAGTGATTTTTTTTCTAATTCTTTTGGGTCACACCTGGCGATGCACAGGGGTTACTCCTGGCTCTGCACTCAGGAGTTACTCCTGGCGGTGCTCAGGGGACCATATGGGATGCTGGGAATCGAATCTGGGTTGGCCGCGTGCAAGGCAAATGCCCTACCCGCTGTGGTATCTTTCCAGCCCCTCTAATTCTTTTTCATTTTTTAATTTCCAGGCTATTCTCAGGATTTAGTGCTTGCTCTCTACTCAGGGTGCTTAGGGGACTGGTAGTGCTTAAGAGACTATCTGGAATGCTGAGGACTGAACCAAGGTAAGCTGCATGTAGGGCAATCAGCTTGCCACTTTGTACTCTCTCCAAACCCTATACGCATTTATAACTGGAGAAGTATGCTTTGAGAAAGTTTTTTTTATGCCATTATCCCTTCTGTATTCTATTTCTCATCTCCCTTTTTGAAAGCATGGTATGGGGGAGAGTAAGGGAATAAGAGGGGTTGTTTGGGGCCACACCAATGGTGATCAGTGGCAGTGTTTAGGGTACCTTTATGGGACAGGAGATCAAACCAGGATCTGCCACTTGCGCCTGACCCCTGTACAATCTCTCTAGTAGCTCCCTTTGAAATATTTTAGATAAACTATTCTTTCTGTGAATTTTCTCATTTTTATTTTTTCATTGTTATAGTTAATGTGAATAACATTCATTTTTATTATTCCTTAATTATGTATGTTCAAGGTTAACTGTCAAAATGTCAGGAAACTGATAAAATTTCAATGAACTAATAACATTTTAAAAATCACTTTATATTTTCAATAGTAACACTAAAAAAATAAGGTTTTTTAAATAGAAAAAATTCTTGATATGATTGAGTAGAAGTATTAATGAATAAATTTCTCAAATGTAAAAAAAAAAAGAGGTACCAAAATATAATAAAATCAAGTTTTCAGTCTTTTTTTTTTTTAATTTTGGGCCACATCAGGCAGGGCTTACTCCTAGCTCTCTGATCAGGGATCACTCCTGATAAGGCTCAGGAGAACAAATGAGGTGCCAGGTATGAATCCATAGTTGGCCATATGCACAAGAAGTGCCCCACTCCTATCCTATTCCTCCAGGCCCCTGAAATCAAGTTTCTTTAACTAAATCCTTTTATTTCTTATCTTGGTAAATATCTTCCAATATGAATTGTTTAAAGATCTTAAATTAGAGAAAATAAGGTTTCCTTTTTTAAAAAAATTTACAGCTAAAGTAACAAGTTAATGCATTCACAATGGTGTTAACGTTTACGGTCTTGATATACATAGTTACCTCAGCTCATCACCATCAAAGTGCCCACAATCTCCCCATGCATCTGGCTCTAAGTCACATCCAATCCACTTACTTTCCTCCTAATCTGGTGCTCTCAATTTGCATTCCAGTACCAAGAGTTTGTTGTCAATTTATATTATTTATTTACTTGTCTGTGAAAATCAAGGGTTTTTTCAACATTTAATTTGTTCTCTGTTATATCTACTCTTTTAAGTACAGGAAACCTACTCTGGGCCAGATTCTATGTTAATAATTTAATTTAGGGCCAAGATCCATGAGCTTCAGTTATAGTTTGAAGTCTCAGGAAAAACATAATCTAGACCCAGAAGTGGCCTGACTCATTTGTAAAAAATATATATACATATATTATTACAGACAAATATGCCATGTCTCCATCTCTCATGCCTACACCTAATAAACAGCTTGTAAGAAGCAGAAACCTCTCTAATACTCTTTCTCTTCCTCCATCTTTCCTAATGTCTATCTTTCCTTTATTACAAAGTCACATTTACCTAGACTTCCCCACTTTGTCCCTTTCTCTACTAGAGCTAAGAACAAAATAGAGATCTCAACCCCCAAGTTCCAAGTGTATCAATGCCACATCTTTACAATCATCGTGCAAAGAAGTGGCATCTGGGAGGCCAGGGGTCTGTCTACAAGGGAAACCTCTATCAAACTGCCTTTAATAGGTTTACAAAGTTTCCCTCTGAAATGAGATCTGGAAAGTGAAGGATAGCAATTACCAATGAACTTGGGCCCAGACTCTCCAGATAACACGGATCTGTGTTTCCCCAAATGACTCCTGCTGACAGCACACTGTACAAGTACAGAGACACCAGCCAATTAGAAGCCTCAGCTGTTTGGTATTATGTTTGCACTGCCTGGAATACCCAACTGGAGAAGACTGACAAATTAAAGGGATGGTGTCTTATGCCAGTCCCTACAGCTCTTCTAATCTCCACATTTATTCTGCTGTTCTGAGGAACTCCAAAAGAGCAAAACTAAGGAAGGAGTCCCAGGTTTCAACAATAAGTGCCATTCAGCTGACAGGCTCTGACAAATGGCTTATAAGCCCAAATTCCTGCTCTGTTTGATTAGAAGGTTACATAACAATTTCTGAATTTCCTCCATGTAATAGAAAAACATGGCAATTAGTTCTGACCTTGAATCGTGCCTCTATTATTCACTGTCTTAATTGCTCTAAACTTCCATAACCTCGCTAGGCCTCATATTTATTTATTTATTTGGATGCATAAAACAGAGCTAACAATACCCACACCCTAAAAACTGTTAGGTACATTCAAAAGAGATTAGTGTGCACAAAGCATCTAGTCCAATGTGTGACACAGAGAAAATATAGAAAGTCTTTCATTGCCAACAATAACATGATTCTTTCTGAAGGTCACCAAAAGGCTAACTCATAAAGGGGAACAAAGGTGCATGGCCTCGAGGAGATCTCATTTTACTCACCTGCTGAAAGAACAAAAGAGCTGCATCATACGGGGCATCCTGGAGAACATGGAGGAACCACTGTTCCTTGAAGTGCCAAGCAGCTCAGGGCCAGGCTAATAAATAGGTTTACCTCATGCTGAACTAACAGCAATGGCTCAGAAACTGAACTCAAGACCTGTACTATTGGGACACACTATCTTAGGATGAGTTACAAAACTATCAAGGCCCCAAAGCCAAGGGGTAATCAGAGAAGACTGTAATAGAGGTCATCTTGATTCTAGATGTAACAATAGCATGACATGCAGATGAGCCTTTTTTTCCCTCAGTGGAAAGGGTCGAAGCTAGACAACCTTTAATAGCCTTTAACCTCTTTCAGTTAAAAATGTCTGTCAGACATGATGCCCACTTAATACCTGTACTGCAAATCATAACACCCAAAAGAAGAGAGAGAACAAAAGGAAATGCCCTGACACAGAGGCAGGGTGAGGTGGAGGGGATGGGAAGGAGGTGGTGGGAGAGATGCTGGGATCATTGGTGGTGGAAAATGGGCACTGGTGGAGGAATGGATATTCAACCATTGTATGACTGAAATGCAAGCACGAAAGTTTGTAAGTCTGTAACTGTACCCCACATTGATTCACTAGTAAAAGAAAAAATAAAAGGAAAAAAATGTCTGTCAGTTCTAAAACATCTTACCTGAAGATTTGGGGCAACCATCTGTAATAGACAAGGTAGCTTCCAAAGGGCTGCAAAAGCAGGTGCTAGAATGACAACTGGATAAACACTCACTGAAGACAGAGTTGGAGGAATTTGAAAGGGATCCCGAAGCCCCATCACTCAGCTCATAAAACCCTACAAATAAAAACACCATTTGGAATTAAGATCCTGTCAAGCAATAATAACACAAATTCATGCTTAAAAGAAATACACATCTAGAAAAAGTTAAAAAAGTCGGGACTGGGGAATGGACAATTTTGGTTCACTAGATTTAGCATCCTGGTTGCCTAGTTTTATTGGAAAAGGTTGAAGAGTCCATAACTGCTGATACTTTTCAAAGTTATTCTCACCCTCGAATTGACCTTCCTCCTTAACCTCACCTTTAAAGATGGGTAAGGGAAAAAAAATACTTAGATCTGTCAAAGCCTCTATCGTGAATGTTTTAGAAAAATAACTCAAGAGAAAAACAAATCTATTTAAGAAGCCAAATGGCTTAAAAGAATAGGGGGTGGACGTTTGAAGTGGTCTCAGGAAGTTGAAGTGTGACTAATTTTCTAGCCTGTTCTGACTTTCTCAAGTTTCAAAGGAGGACCGCTCTTCCAGAAATTTGAATAGAAACTTTTCTTTTTTAACACTTAGGAGACTCCATATCAATCTCATCATTTAAAAATGTGTTGTCTTGATTTTCCTTCCCTCTCATGCAACTGAATAGCAGACTATATATTTTTTTAAATTCTTTGTACCAAAAGTAAACTCACTGCCATTTGCTGGTCTGGGGATGTTAAGGACATGGGCAGGCAGCCCTCAGGATTGCGGAGTTTGTTCCTCACACTCCCGCACCCACCTGAGCTAGGCCGGCTATCTGTCTCCAGGTGCTCTTCAGAGGTCTTTTCCACATCCAGCCTCAGGTCACTTATCTGTTTGTCAAGTTCTTGCAACTGATTCAACAAGCCAGCATCTCTTCTTCTCAAACAATTCTGATTAGGAAGAAATGCAGAAGAAAAGGAAAAACAAAAAACATTTTGGTGAGAAAGAGCCAAAAGTTTCCTCTAACTATTCCAATTACTACTAGAAGTCACAAAATCTTCCTAAACAAAAATTTTACCGGACAACCTAAAATAAGGAAGGTCTCAGAATGTCTCTAAGATTTCATTCATCGTTCTCACATTTTGTGGTGATATAAAGTTTCTATGAAGAATAATTTTTTAAAAATGACTTACTAGTAATGTCATTTAATATCTACTAACTTCTTTTTTATTGGTAAGGATAAGGGGAGACGATTTTTTTAATTCTCTGAGTACGAGCCATTTATTTTACTTTTTAAACAAAATAATCCTTCACATTAGACTCTTCAATTCGAAGTCAGAGTGTAACTGATTTCCTACAATACACTGTAATCTTGCTTAGGTGAGATTTTCTGGCCAAATGTCCTACAGAGTTTTGTTTTCTATGAGTTGCTTTGTGGGGTTTAATCATTCTTAGAGCCTTTGAAAGTGAGAAAGTAATACTAAAACCAGTGCCAAGTATAATGTGAGCTGGCAGAATCCAAAACCCTCCAGGGAAGGTCCATCAAGATCTGAACCCAACTTCGATTTCCAAAGGTGACAGATCTATCATACTAACTCACACCGCCACCTAGTGCTTCCCAGCGCTGGAAAAGCCTCAAGAACTCAAAAGGCATCTGGTTCAAATCATGAATGCCCAAGCCTCCACACGAAAACAGGACCCCAAATGCTGGCTGCACTGGAATTCTCCCGACAAGCTGCCTTGCCCCCCTCAAGGGGACAAGGGGAATGCGCCAGTCACAACCTTGAGACTCAAAGATAAAACGGGGCTCGTCGTGCACAAAACAATGAGCACGATGTCAGAGATCAGGTCTTGCAGCAGGAATTGGCACCATCTAACTGGCACATCCTAGCCCAGACACACAGCAAAACACAAACGAGAAAGCGCCGCTCACACCAGGACAAATGGACACCCTTGCAAAGTAGACGTGTGGGCTCTCCTCCCAGGGTCCTCTGCCTCCAAAGGCTTAGGACAGAAACCACTGCGCCTTTGTAAGTGAGTTTCTGGGGGTGGGGTGGGGGGGTGGTTGGGGGATGGGGACAAACAAGTAAAAGCAAGCTGATGCAGAGAGAGAGAGAGAGAGAGAGAGAGAGAGAGAGAAAGTTCTCTGAAAAGAGATCATGACAAATCACTGCACTGTGTAGACACTTCCCGGCTGTTGGGGGGGACATCATCGAGCATGCATCTCTTTTCAGACGGTGTCACAAGCACAGGTAAGGATTTAGTACACTGTTTGCAAAACTACATTTGCAGGTCACCCAAACAAAGCTGCCGCCATTATTCTGAGGCGGGGTCCAATGCTGCTCAAGATACTTTAAGAAGTTCTTTCTCTTCCCCCCCCCCCCCCCCCCATGAAGACGACAGCGAACGACTGTCAGAAATAATTCACCAAGACAAACGGGTCCCGTGAGCGGGGTCCCCGTTCTCCCCTCCCCCCCGCGCCCCGCAATCCTCACCCCCACCCCCCACGCCCGGGCTAGCAGCGAGTATACATAAGAGAGGAGGGGGCCCTCTCCGCGGCCAAATTTCCATCATTTGCATCGTAAACGCTGCCTTCCACAAAGGGCTTCTATGTGGATTGCAGCACCAGCCGGGCAAAGACTGGCAGGCGGGGGAGCGCCCCGGGAAGGGTAGGGCAACCTCCGGGCGCTTCCGCGCAACCATGAAATTCAGCCTCAAGTGGGGGGCCCCTGGACCCCACCACTAGCCCCCGCCCCTCTTGGGCTGTGCTCGGGTCTTGGCGGGAGGACGCGAAGCTAAGCCCTCCAAACCAGGCTTTGGAAACCTTGGGACACCGGGGCACCGCCTTCGTCTAAGAGTGAGGAGACTCGCCCCGCGGCCGTTCCAGGAATCCCCAGAGCAGAACGGGGGCGGGGGAGCAGTCACCCGCCTCCTCGCCATCCCTGCGGGGTCGACAGCTCCACACCTGACACAAAGCCTGCATCCGCCCACGCGCCTTGAACCCCGGACAGAAACGCGGGGGGGGGGGGGAGGGTGGTTGGGAAGAACGTTGCGGGAGGGGCCCCGGAATCAAGCCCGTCCCGCAAGCAAAGGCACCCTCTCGTGCACTCCCCTCCCCCCCAAACATCGGCGGGTCAGGGGCGCCCCACCTCGGGGCTGCCACCTACCAATTGCTTGCGCAGCAGCATGATGTTCTCCTCCAAGAACTTCTCCTCCAGACGGCTCCGCTGCGCCGCCTCGGCCGGCAGCTCCCCGGCGCCCCGCACCGCGGCCCCCGCGGCCCCGGCCCCGCGCAGGGCGCCCCGCACCAGCAGCTCCTGCCGCTGGCGCAGGTACTCCAGCTCGGCCAGCCCGGCCAGCGTGGCCTCCTGCCGCTCCCGGGTGCGCTGGCGCTCCGTGTCCGCCTCGCCCTTCTCCCGCCAGCGCCCCTCGGGCTCCGCCGCGCGCGGCTCGCCCCGCACCGGCGCCGGCGGCTCCAGCTCCCGGGCCGGCCCCGGCTTCATGGCCCCAAGCCCGCGCCGCGCCGCCGCCGCCGCCGGCACCCGTCACCGCGCCCCGGGCCTCCCGGCCCCAGCAGCGAGGGCTCCCCCGCTAAGGCAGAGACCGCGGGCGCATGCCGCCGCGCGGCGAGCCACGGCGACGGGGGCGGCGGCCAGACGCGATCGGGACCTTCGCGCGCAGCCTCGGGCTCGCAGCCGTCCCGGGCCGGGCGGCGCCGTCCGCTGTCGCCGCGGCCCCGCAGCTGATAACGCCCCAGCCCGGCGCTACGTCACGCCCGGCGCCCGCCTCCCCGCGCCCGAGGCCCGCTCCCCCGGACTCTCCCCGCGTCTGTCGGGGGCGCCGCTCGCACTCTGCGCCGGCCCCAGCCGCCCTCGGCCCGCCCCGCTCCTCCCTCTCTCCTCCCCCGCGCGCCGCCGCGCCCCCTTTTCGGCTCTCCCCTGCACCCGATTTTTTCCTCTCTCCTTATTGGTTCTTTCCCTGTCCCACCAAGCCAGGGGGCGAGCGCCGGGTGCTCCCCGCGTCCAGTTACGGCGAGCCGGGCGGGCAGCGGGGCTCCCCGGAGAACTTTCTGCAACTCCAGCGAGTTGCTGCTGCTCAGTTCTTAACCCTTTCCCCGCGCCCGCCGCTGGCAGCCGCTCCGACCGTGCTTCACTCGCCTTTCCCGGCGAGGTGTGTTGCGCCCCGATGAACCTGGGTTTGGGGGGGTGAGGGGATTGAAATTTACGTTTGGTTTAACTCTACTGTATAACCGGCAAGTATTGCAAAGCACATTTCAGTGTGGTTCTAAAACGGTTTGGTTGCATTTCTTCTTCTTTTTTTTTTTAAAGGAAGGTATTTAAAACCAGGCAAGAAGGATGTCGCTGTATAGCAAAGGTGCCATCAGTTATTTGACAAGCTTGAGGTTTGTGGGAGCACTTGCGCGGGCACGTCTGAGGTTTTTGTGCGAGCTACTGCTTCTTAAGTCCGCCTACCCAAGACCTCTGACTCTGGTGCCAATGTCTGTCCATTAGTTGTGAGGACAAATGACTTCATCCATCTGTGCCTCTGTTTCCCAGACCGTTAAATGGAGCTGGGAACAGATCCTGTCTCTTCTAAGAATCGCAGTAAAATTCGGTGTATAATGTATATTTGTGACACAAGGAGTGCTGCTACGGCTAACATCTAGGAATATATGAGCTATTTGGCTGCGGGTCTTCCCTTCCCCCACCTCAGAGAGACTTTAGGAACATTTCTCCTGAAACAGCACTTGTGTGGTGTGATCAGCTCTGTTTGGGACACAAGTTAAGGGAACCTCTCCCCCCCCACCACCCCACACCCATGAAGGTCCGAAAGTGTCACTAGCATGCTTGTCTATGAAAAGTGCACTGTTTTAATTTTATTGTTCGTTTCTTTGGGGGGGGGTCACACCCTGCAGTGTTCAGGGCTTACTCCTGACTCTGTGTTCAGGGATCACTCCAGTCGGGCTCAGAGGACCATCTGTTGTGTCAGGGACTGAACTGCATTCAGATACATGCACGGCAAACACCTAAATTCTTGTACTACATCTCTGGCCCAAGTATCCTAATTTTATTTATTTATTTATTTATTTCTTATTTTGCTTTTGGGGTCACATCCAGCGAGGCACAGGGGTTACTCCTGGCTCTGCACTCAGGAATTACTCCTGGAAGTGCTGGGAGATCATATGGGATGCTGGGAATCAAACCCCAGTTGGCCGCGCAAGGCAACCACCCTACTCACTGTGCTATCTCTCCAGCCTCATTATTCCTAATTTTAAAAGCTGTATATCTATTAGCTTTGAATCCAGCAAGTTATAATTCGTGGAAGTTCAGGCAAGATGTTGGATGGTGTACACGTTTAATTATTTCAAACTTGTGCTCTTTTGCCCACCTACTTACCCACCTGAGATTTTTTTCCTTTCTTCCTTGTCTGTGTAGCTGACCATAGTCTCTCCAAAATCAGATCATTTCCCTCCTCTGAAGTCCAGTTAGCTGCATAAATATCCGATTACTAAATGCTATTTCTAGCGTTCATTATCTGGGTGTGTATACGTGCCTTCATATATGTAGGTGTTTGTGTATCTCTTCTCTCCAATTACATTATAAAAGATTCCTAAAGGCAGATATATTTTATTGCCCTCTTTAGTATTACTATACTTAGCACAGTGCCCTGCCAGTGTCCAACTCATGGTTGCTAGAGAAACTGAAGGGAAGGGGGGGAGAAGTGGGTGGATTGTAAATTTTTTTATTGACATACTTTCTAACTAACTTAATAGTAGCTATTTAATCTCTCATGACAAATAAAATCAAACTGACATTTGCCAAAAAACAGGGGTCTCCTTGCCACCCTCCATGACCTCCCTGTTGGTTCCCCCTCACAGACATTTAAAAAACTCTAATTCCAGCTGAGATTCATAATGGCCAAGATTATTTGCCGCATCTAAAAATGGAATACAGTCAGGTGTTCACCCAAAGACAAAGCCACTTTGTATTCAGGCCAGTTATTCTTTGTGCCTACTGTGTGCCAGACACTCTATTTGATAATACAGGAACTAATTCTCCAAAATTGAGTAATAATGAGTCTTTCTGCCTGCCAAGTACCACTCACCCATGTCCTCTGTCATTGTTTCATTCTAGTCATTTCTAAGCCTTCTTTTGCCTTCCAGCTAAGAATTGGATTCCTTTTTGCTGGGTGGAGCCTATTATTGTGGCCTGTCCTATGTCACACATCAACAACTATATTTATATAGTTGGGCCAAGGGGGGAGTCTGAAACATGTTTTTACACACTTCTAATAAATCTTGTTGAAGCAGACAGACAAGTCAGTCACTATGTCTCCAAACTTCCCCACCTTCCCACCTACTCCCCACCAAATGCCACTTTGAGCTGGCTCGTTACTCCAAAGCAAACCATTTGCCATAACAGCTTGGACATCTCCATGAAAAAGTGTTCCCAGCAAGTTTAAATATTAAAACTGAGGTATTCAAATGGTTCTACCAATAAAATGGTCATGAATAGGAAAAAAGGTTATGCTTTCCAACGTATCCATTACACACTAATAAATAATGCTGTTCATTCACGCGCCAATTAAAACAAACTCGGGCTGTCAAACGAAGTTAGAAGCCAGGAGCTCAATGCTGTAATTGTTTTTCCAGGAAAATTCCCAGTGCAGTCAGATTTAGTGTGACCGGTTGGGTTGCCCCTTTTCTCTTAACCTACCAGCCAAACTTGCTTCTCTCCAGTCTAGTCTTCTGGCTTTCTTTCCTCTTTGATTCTTTGTTTAGGTGGCAGGCATGTGGGATGAAGTTGGAAGTGCAACCACCACTCCCTCCTGTTGCCAACAGGATCTCACTCCTGCCTGCTCTTTTGATTTTTTTTTCCCCTTTCTTTTTCAAGCAGGTGCTGGTGCACCTTCCTCCACCAATGCTACTTCCTTATCTCCTTTCTAATATTGTTCAGTTTTAGTAGCCAGTTTCTTTCTTTTCCCTGGAGGCCTCTGTCTTTTCAGAAAAAGCTGATAATTGGCACTCAAAAATGGTAGGCACTAAAGACAGGATGAATATGCTGCCTATCAAAGGGTCTGGAGAATAAGATAAAGTTACCAGCATGAAAAGACTTGACTGAAGGTGTTCAGTTTTATAAGTTATGCTTAAAGATAAAACTTGGGCAAAGCAGGAAGTGTCCCTCAGATCTGACAGTCTGACTTCTGTCTTAGAACAGTTTCCAGCAGCCTACACACACACACACACACACACACACACACACACACATCAAAATCTAGGCATCATCTGATAAGAGATCACTATCCAAGATATATAAAGCACTGGTAAAACTTAAGGTAAAGGTAAAGGCAAAGGCCCTCCCGTTGATCGTCGATTTGCTCGAGCGGGCCCAGTAACGTCTCCATTGGAGACTTTGTTGTTACTGTGTCTGGCATATCGAATACTCTCGGTAGCCTGCCGGGCTCTCCGAGAGGGGCAGAGGAATCGAACTCGGGTCAGCCATGTTGGCCGCTTGTAAGGCGAACGCCCTACCCGCTGTGCTATCACTCCAGCCCTGGTAGAACTTAACAAGAAAGAAATATCCAGCCCCATCAAAAAATGGAGAGAAGAAATAAATAGAAACTTCCTCAAAGAAGAAATTCAAATGGCCAAAAGACACATGAAAATAATGCTGTACATCTCTAATCATCAGGGAGATGCAAATCAAAACAACATTGAGGTATCATCTCATACCACAGAGAGTGGCACACATCTCAAAGAACAAGAACAACCATTGCTGATGCAAATGCAGGGAGGAAGGGATTATCATTCACTGTGGGAATGCCAATTGATCCAGCCTTTTGGGAAAATATTTTGGGCATTCATCAAAAAACTAGAAATTGAGTTTCCATGCAACCCAGCAATAACATTTCTGGGAATATATCCCAGAAATTCAAACACACAGCAGAAGAAGCGTATGCATTTCTATGTTCTTTGTAGCACTATTTACCGTAGTCAGCATCTGGAAATAACCCACGTGTCCAATAGATGACTGGATATTGAAATAATGGAACATCTATACAATGGAATACTATACAGCCACCAGGAATAAAGAAATGAAGTCATGAAATTCACTTACAAATAGATAGACATGGAGAGTATCATACTAAGTGAAATGAGTCAGAAAGAGAGGGACAGGCATAGAATGACTGCATTCATTTTGGGGACATAAAAAATAAACATAGTATGAGACCAATACCCAAGGACATTAGAAACACAGGCTAGGAGAATTGGTCCATGGTTGAAAGCCTGCCTCAAGTACTGGGGGGTGGGGGTGGGGAGAAGGCAGTTGTGCCAGAGAATGGACCACTATGACAAAGATAGTAGGAAATGATCACTCTGGATAAGAACTGCATACTGAAAGTGGTAAAGGAAAACAAACATGATAACCTCTCAGTGCCTGTATTGCAAACCATAATGCCCAAAAGGAAAGAGAGAGAGAGAGAGAGGGAGAGAGAGAGAGAGAGAGAGAGAATAAAAGTGCCTGCCATAGAGGCAGGCAGGGGGTGGGGGTGGGGGAGTTGTGGCAGGAGGGAAACTGGGGACATTGGTGGTGAAGTGTACACTGGTGGAGGGTTGTGTGTTGGAACATTTCATGACTGAAACCCAATCATGAATAGCTTTGTAACTGTCTATCTCACGTTGATTCCATTTTTTTAAGAAATCTGGGCACCATTCTGCCACCGTGTAGTGTGGGAATGAATGAACAGCCAAGCAAAGAGCATTGACTGCGCATTTTGCTCCAGAGCAAAGCAACAAAACGATGGCTTGCAGCTTTTATGACCAAACAAAACACAAATGATGTAATTGGGAAAAGCTG